TCAGGAGGAGAGTTCCATGAAGTTGGTTATCTGCTACTTCAAAATATCCGAGCAAAGACAATTTGTACATGCATTACCCAATATAAGGACTCAACAAATTGTTTCTGATACTTGTCCCTCCCTCTCTACCTTCGTCTTCAAAAAGTGTCGGATCTGTAACAGAAACAATTTGTTGAGTGATGAAATGAAGTCATGCTTGGTTTCTGTATTTGAAGTAGGAATTTCTTGTTCTTTAGGGTTGCCAAAAGAAAGAATGAGCATTGGTGCTGTCCAAGCACAGCTGCTTTCAATCAGAAATAAACTGCTCAAGAGCAGACAAGACACAGAGAGAGGCATGGTAGGAGGAATCAGGCATTGTTGGAGAATTAAAATTTTCTGAATGCCTTAAAGGGTAGTTGTAAGCCAAATGATATGAAGCATCCAAATGGAGTTTCATGATAGATTAGGAAGTCAGAAAGTAATAAATTATTCTAACCTAATAATTCTACGAGTAGATTACAATGTCCTCTCTTCCAAATTTTAACAGTTTGCTCTTAGCTTAGTGCTTGTTGGCTGCATTTTATGTTTCTGCTGTAGCTACAAAAAGGCAGAAATTTAGCCAAATGTTTTAAAAAAAACAAATAAGTGCTTTTTTAAGTGAATATTAAAGATGCTTTTGGCTTTCTTATAAATGAAAGAAAAATGAATTTCCATAACATTAGTTTTTAAGTAGAAAACTGTATATTGTTTGGTAAATTTTTGCTATAAAGACTAATTTCAATGTAGAGTGTGATGTGGTATTTTATTACTTATGTTATAAAATTTAATAATAACTTACAAAATGATAAAAAAAATTTCGTAATAATGAAAATTAATAACTATAGATATTTAGATAATATTATTTATTCTAAAAATATTATAATGATTTAAATTATTTTAAAATATTTATTTTAGTTTAATTATTTTATTTATCTGATTCAATATAAATATTAATTTTGAAAAATTATTTAAATTTAAAATACATATTACCTAAATAATTTACAACAAATACCAAATATTTAATAGTGAATTAATATCATATTTCTTTTTTTTAAATATTTAATTACTAAATTAATAAAATATTTACTCACTCTAATAGCTTATATGCTTCTTTACAGGTCCTGCTCTCGTAATGAGATTCGTCCAAAGAATGTTTTATAAGTCCAGAGTTCATTTAGACATTTTATCAAGCAGTTAACCCGCAATAAACACCAATAGCCTTAGAACTAGAAAACATAAAATCAGAACACAAAACATTCAATGCATTCCTCAATTGCCTAATAATTCAACTTCACATCCATCCTTAATTGCAAATACAGATAATGAGTAAAAGAGACAAGAAGCAGATTTTACCTCCTTTAAACCCCTTTCACCCTCAAAGCTCCATCATCATGACCGATAGAGAATCAGAGAGAAGAAGCTGCTTCCCTGTCGGCAAAACCCGGAACCCTCCTCTTCCTACGAGTTTCCTCTCATTTTCTCTGTTTTCTTCCATTTTTACAGCTCTCTTCTCTTCCACTCAATTCCCTGGATCACACACCTCTCCGTCTCTCGCCTCCGATCACTCTGCCACCCCTCTCCCTTTTTTCTTACTTCTTGCCAGAAACAGAGAAGACCAACTCTCTCTCGCTCTTAAACGGCGCCGTTTTGAATAAGAGAAGTGAGCTTTAGTTCTGGGCTTCACTTGATTTGGTTAATTGGGTTGGGCTTTAATTTTTAAATTAAAAAAGTGCGTAATTGGGTAATGCATGGATGATTTGTGTCATAAATAATATTTGATCAAAACAAAGAAATATAATACCATATTTTATATTAAAAATTAACATGTATTAATTATTAATTAAATATATGGTATGGTTTGTGTAAACTTAGAATATACCCATTAACAGACCCTTAATTAAAAATCAAAAAACAATAAACTTACGAGCATTGCAAGTTTGATTCAAATTTCAAAACCCCAGTGAACTTAAGATCCTTAAGCACGAAGAACAGAAGATGAAAAGACATAGCAATAATTATTATTACTAAAAAGAGGAAAATTATATATATGTATAAATAAATTATTTAATTTGGGGGTCACATGAAAAAAAAGACTATTAAAAAGTGAAAAGCTGTTCATGTTTTATCTCTCTCACAGTATTCATGGGGGAAACAGCATTATTAGTATATGAGGTGGGTGATGGATGTGTTATTGGCATATCATGACCCCATGAAAATTCCACTACAAAAATGACCCACCTCCAATTTTGTATTTAAATTTAATCTACACATAAATAATTACTTAATTAGATAAAGAATTTAAGATGGATGCACAAATTTACGACCCTTTTGTTAATTAATTCCATTTTGTTTTTCAGATTTCACTATGTATATATATATATATATATATATATATATATATAGAGTTGCCTTCATTTGAAGCATATATATTACCAATATTATCATAACGTGTGTGTGTGTGTGTGTATATATATTATTATTATTATTGCCTTCATTTGAAGTATATAATCCTACATCAACCATACTATTATTGATTGGTAATGAGTACCTTTATTTTAATTTATGGGCACCAACCAAAACATTATTAAAATGAGGTTTTGTCTTCTTCTTAAGTTACTAATTATTTCTCTTAATACATTTTTTAATAACATTAATTATTACCTAATTTTATTTATTTTAATATATTAAAGAAAAATCTAAACACTTTGTCCAAAATAAAAAGAATAAAATAAAGGGCATGACATAAGCCAAATAAGTATCAAGTAATATTCCATCTAGATATTACAATTCAATTAGTCAATATAATATTTAAAAATTATATTGAGTAATATTAAAAAATGAAAATATAATAATTTGGAAATTTCGGAAAATACACCCATTTTTTAATTAAAAAATTTGAAGGCATTTTAATACTTGAAAATAGAGAATTCTCAACTAATCAACATTAAGACTATGAAGTTTGTTGCCTTTGAAAAAATTGTGATAAAACCCAAATGTAGAAACTTGATTAATTTATATAATTAAGACACGAAAATATGACTTAGAAAAGAAAAGAGAAATCTATATATACACACACACACACATCTATATATATATATATATATTTATATATTATTTGAAGATAAAGAAAGTAAAGAAAAGAAAGGTAGATATTGAATTGAAATGGTCCCTTAAACGAATACTTGACTTTTGAACCAAAAAAAAAAAAAAAGGACAAACTTTTTTTAAAAAAAAAATAAAAAATAAAAAACAAGAAAAGGACCCAAAAATTACTCAAGCAATCAAAACTCTCCACGTGTACAGTCATGATGGACCCACGTTTATCTGTCCCCACCCGACCCAAAACCCACCCTAAACCCAGATCTCACTTTTTTGAAGTTGGTAAGAAGAAGCACCACACCAGACCATACCCGTTAGCTTCAAATTTACAGTAGACAGGAAAAACAGAGGACAGAAGGAAGAGCATGCAAACCTTACCTGTTTTCCACTTTTTTACTTTTCAATTCTACGCAATTCGCATGGTCAAACTCTCTCCTCCGCACTTTCTCGCTCTTCTTCTTCTTCTTCTTATTCTTCTGCTCTCCCCGAGTTTGAATTATTTTTCTCATGGCGGTAACGGATGTTGAAGCTGTGCTGGAACTCTTGAGGATCAACGGGCTGAAAGAGGCCGAGTCTGCTCTTAGAGAGGACATCAGCGAGAGGAGCCGACTGGGTTCGTTCGATTATGAGATGTTCTTCTTCCCCATGCCGCCTCCGGTGAGGATTCCGGCGAGTATCCGGCGGCTGGAAGTCGATAATGGTGGTAATCGTGGAGAATCTGGATCGAGTGGCGATGGGTCGTGTTCAGATGATGAGTTTGTTAGCTTGGTTTCCTCTACTAGTGGTGCTTGTTCTTCGGGTAGAGTCCTTTTTCTTGGTCTTTTTGCTGATTTTTTTATAGGTCTTGATTATTATTTTATATAATTGAGTACAGTTTCCTGTTCTCCCCTTTGTTGCTGCTATATCTCCAATAGTTAAACAATTGATTTTTTTTCTTATAAGAGCTCTATTATGTTTAAATGGGTGTATGTGCGTGAATATATATATATATATGTATGTATTGTCAGTGATGTTCATATTGATTACTGGACTGATTGTCATATGATTCCAAAAGTTCAAATATTGATTTTTGTTGTTGAACAAGCTGCGTTACTGCCTTGTATTTTCGCAACCACTGGGTGAAAACCAGTAAGGTTACTCTATGTTGTTAATGGCTGGACTGGAGGGACTTCTTTTTTTTTCTTTGTTTCAGGTTATGAAGATAGGTTTTTGTACCTTCATCACAGCCCAGTAACTGGAAATTTAGCATCCCTTGACCTTTAAGATTGCTTGGCTGATATTACAAAGACAGTGCAGTACATAGATATTCACAAATTACCAATGAACTCTTTCTAATTATTTGTTGGAGTTTTTTTTTCCCTGCTTTCTGTCATCATCCTTCTTTATTGCTTTCAGTTTGTAGGTGAAATTTCTTTTTCGTATGCAGAGTTCACGAATCCATATGGTCATCATTCTACAGCTCAGGCAGATTCTGATGGGTCATCATCCGATAGATTATCTCAATTTGGTACAGCTCGTGATTATCCCGAGATAAATGGTTCTTACTGGTACGATGAAAAAGATGAAGACTACTTTATGACTCCTGTCTTCACGGGTCCTGATTTCTTTGGCTGTCCGAGTGAAGATAAGTTCATCATGACTTCAGACTCAGAGAAGCAATTTGAAAATATACCAGTTTTATATGATAAATATGAAGGATATCAAACAGAAGCTGGCAGCGATTACCTGGACAAGCCATGTCTTTTCAATATGCTCCCTATGGATAATGATAATGCTGAAGACTGTTATCATTTTGATAAGCCTAACAAAGTTGAAGGAATCATGGAGGGGAAACTGAGTTGTTACAGTTGTTCAGCCCCACTTTGTAAATGCCATGCTGGATCAGGAGGGTTTTATGCCGGGGATTTTGTGGATTATGGAAGCTCAAAAGAAACCAAGTATAGTCATTTTTACATGAAGGATGTGGATGATATTGGAAGCAAATATATTGGAGTGTCTAAAGGTGCTTCTGACATGTCTTTTAAGGTTTCCGAGGACAAAGTTGATCCAAATAGAACTGATGCATATGACGATGGAGATGGTGAAGTACTTGAAGAATTAAATGAGCCTAAGGCTGCTGCAAATGAAGATGGTAACAATGATGATGATCTTCTATATGACACTAATGAGGATGAATATGAAGTATTCAATCTACGAATCATCCACAGAAAAAACAGGTTTGTCTGCGTACATAATCTTCCTGCTAAACACTGTTCTGTTATGGTTCCAATTTTGGCAGGTAAAAAATTTTGAGTAAGCTGGTTTAAATTTTGTGGGGGTCAATATGATTTGATCAAATTGATGCATGTCTTGAAATGTTTAGCAGCAGTGAGTTGTTCTCCCTTGTTAGCTTATGTAACTTTTCTACTATTACTTAATTGTTAACGGCTAAGTTACATTTTTTGAAATTTATCTCCTTTAAAGGATCTAGACTTCGTTGTTTTGTCATTGAATTACTTGTTTCTGCACTCTTTTGCTGGAGATAGTAAGTTGGTGAATTGTGTTTTGCAATTAGTGTTTATATGATGTGCTATCTGCAGGACAGGGTTTGAAGAGAACAAGGATCTACCTATTGTCCTGAACACAGTGATTGGAGGCAGATATTATGTCACTGAATACCTTGGTTCTGCTGCTTTTAGTAAGGTTGTTCAGGCACATGATCTTCACATGGGAATAGATGTTTGCCTGAAGATCATTAAAAACGATAAAGATTTCTTTGACCAGAGTCTGGATGAAATTAAACTTTTGAAGCTTGTGAACAAGCATGACCCTGGTGACGAACGCCATATTTTGCGACTGTATGACTACTTCTACCATCAGGTAGCTTTCTACAAATTAATATAGTGAGCTTCTTTCAATCTTCTATTATGTATATAACATACTTCTTAGATTGAATTGCTTAGAACATATTCAAACTTTATATGGAAGATTTGCTTCTTGAATTGATTTCATTATTCTTATTTGACTCAATTATTTTGAGAAAAGAGGGAGAAGTGAGGGAGAAGAAACCAGCCTTTTCTTCCTTGGTTATTTGCTGTTTTTACAAGATTCAAAATTCTTTTGTAGTTTAAGATTTTTCTTAAGGATAGAGAAGAAAATTGCATAGGGATCGACCCGCTGGCATTCTGATACTTTTTATTAGCTCCCTTCTCTCCTGCATCATACGTTCTTCATGTTGGTATCTGTGCTTAACTTTCTGTTATTTGCCACATGCATCTACAACTTTTCCTTTCCCTTCTAAGTTCATGTTACTGGAGAGATGCTGTAAGAAGCTTCAATGTCTGCATTTTCATCACCCTATGTCCTTAAACTCTTGCATTTTTCTTCTTAGAAGTTAGAATTATTCAGTGGCATAATAAGCATCCCTTACGATATTCAAAATTTTCATCTCACTTTCTGATAATTGTTACTCAGTATACTTGACTAAATTGATAATACAAAATGCTTTTAAGATTAGAATTCAGAATGGTCTAATTTTCCTATTAACGTTGAAAAACGTGAATAATGATTGTATAAGATGTTAGTCTCTCGATATGACAATGGAAAATGACTGAATGGAGTGCTTTAAAAACCTTACAGGAACACCTCTTCATTGTTTGTGAACTCCTTCGCGCAAACTTGTACGAATTTCAGAAATTCAATCAGGAATCTGGTGGGGAACCATATTTTAACCCGAGCAGATTGCAGGTTTGTCCAATTTTGCTTCTAGCTTGATTGTGCTCTTCTGTCCAATTATTTCTTTCAGTAACAAGGACAGTAGTTTTGCCACCTATTGTCTTGCAACCTTGTGATTTTTAACTGTGGCTTGGTTATTTTGTTTCTTATGGGGATAACATCCTGATTTTCCTACTTTATTTTTTCATTTAAATTGTAAAACCATCAAATGAAAATTTCTCATATTATCTATTTTCCTTGTAAAAGGACCAAAGTAAGAAAACCAACATAAGACAAAATAATGTGTCTTTCTACTGGTTTTTCGAGCAGGTGATAGCGCGTCAGTGTTTAGAAGCATTGGAGTATTTGCACCACATGGGAATTATCCACTGTGATCTTAAGCCTGAGAATGTTCTGATTAAGAGTTACCGGAGGTGTGAGATAAAGATCATTGATCTTGGTAGCAGTTGTTTCCGTAATGACAACTTGTGCTTATATGTACAATCTCGTTCCTATAGAGCCCCTGAAGTAATTCTAGGCCTCCCATATGATGAGAAGATTGACTTGTGGTCTCTCGGGTGTATTTTGGCTGAGCTGTGCTCTGGAGAAGTATGTCTTAGTTTGCATCGTTTCACTCATTCACTTGAACTAGTGTGATGATCTTTTATCATTTATGGTTGATTTCGTGAAATAATTAATTATTGTCAATTATTCAAAATCCTAAACTTATAAGAAAATATGCAATCTATTATTTATACTTTTGAATGTCCCCACACACAAAAGTTCATTGGCTAAAGACAAAATCAAGCACATACTCTTCATATCTTGTGCTGAAATTTCACCAACAAAAAATGGGATAGTCCGAATCTGATAAAGTGCAAAATAATTGTTAATTATCTAAATGTTTGAGTTTATGGGAAATAACTGAATCTATTTTTTATGCCTTAGCAGATTTCGATCAAAGTCTGAATCTGTTTGTAGCCTTTACTGCAAAATGTGTTTGTTTCGCATGCTGTATTTGAAGAATCCTTCATTATGAGGTAACTTCCATTTGCAACTTATTCCGAGCTCTTTGTCTTCATCAGGTATTGTTTCCTAATGATGCTGTAGTAATGATCCTTGCTCGAATGATTGGAATGCTGCGTCCTATTGATATGGAAATGTTGGTAATGGGGCAGGAAACACACAAGTACTTCACAAAAGAATACGATCTCTACCATATAAATGAGGTTTGTTTCGGTTGTATCTTATAAAGATTAAGTTCAAAAACAGAAATTAGAGTGTTCTACGCAGCTTCTATTTTCCAGTTTGTTCTAAATAGAATACTGGAATAAGAAAGTTCCAATCATAAATTTTACTTGTTTAACTTCAGAATTGAATATGAAATCCATGTTCAAAAGTTTGTTTGCCTTGTGATAAATTGACCTCTTTTTTTTTTTTTTTTTTCCAGGAGACTGATCAACTAGAGTACATAATTCCCGAGAAGTCCTCGTTGGAGCATCACCTGCAAGTTTCTGATGCCGGGTTCATTGACTTTGTCAAAAATCTGCTTGAGATCAATCCCCAGAGACGCCCAACAGCAAGGGAGGCGCTGGAGGACCCATGGCTCACCTCTTCCTACTAATAAAATCTTGTTCTACCAATGAGCAGCCAGAGGAGTCACCATTCTGGTGCAGTTGTGCAAACGAGTACGTACTCTCCTCCTCTCTAATCCACGACTGAATTGAATTTTTGATTTCAATCTTGTTCTGACATATATGCAACTACACCAGCTTTTTCCCACAGCAAAAGACGTACACATTTATTCTGTACATATATATATAATACATATATGGGTGATATTTTTTTCCCGCATCCCTTTTGCTGGATGTTGTAAAGAGTGATTGTTGATTGAACATACCAGAAAGATGCAATAAGAATTGATGGATTCATTGATTTGGTTATTGGAGCCAGTTATGTGAAAAGCTAGTTTTTGTACAGTGCAGATTTTCTTTTGCATTGATCAGTTAATTACATTCTCAAATGCATTCTACTGCTGATCATACCGTAACAATTAGAAGCTGCAATTAGTCTTAGAAAATTAATTAATAATTTTGAAAAAATAATTAGTCTTTGGTTTAATAATTAATACATCTTTGTGTTTATAAAAAAATTCTAAGTTGTGCGTTACTGTACTTTATATTTATTGCAAAAGATTATATTATAATATATATATATATATGTATATGTATGTATATATATAGATTGTTAATAATTATTTTAAAGAAAAAATGAAAAATTTATTGGGTTTGACTGTCTTTTCAAATATCAGTCTCCGGTCTTGAGAGTTGGTGAGTATTCACAAGAAAAGTCTTAATTGAACCGCCACGGCACCTAATTAGGGTAAAACCATGGTCGTATGATTTTGACATTAATTTGATTTTTCTTTACTTCATATTGATGACCCAATTAAATTCTACATTTAATACATTGTTGCTATATATTCAAACAATAATTTACAACCCATTCTCTCCAATATTATTATATACCTATTTATTTTATTTTTATATAAAAATATAAATTTAAGTTAAATTATGGATTATAATTAAAAATAACAACAAACGCATAAAGATTACGATATTAATTAGATATACGAATGTTCATTTTGTTTATAAATATTATTTATAAATTCGTTAAAATTTAATTAAAATTAATTATTACAATTGAATTACTATATTAATAAATTAAATTTTTTGTTTAATTAAATTAAATATTAAAATTAATTAATATATATTTATAAAATAATAATTTTATATTATTAAAAAATATAATAAATTTATTTAAAATTAATCTAATTTATTTATTATAATATTATTAATATATTAACGAATTAAATAATCAATTCAACTTAACAAATTATCCGAGAATGATCCATAAGAAGATGATGATAATAATAATAATTCTTAAATTGAGGACCTTGTTCCATTTTGTTGTTCTTCATGTAGCGGTTCAATCAAATTTAAGTGCGAGTACTCCAAGAAAAATTGAGGGATAGACATCGACTTAGTAGCTGGTTGCCTTGTCAGCAACTCAAGTCCAATTACTCCACTCTACACTTGGTCCCACTCTGACGTGGCAAGAAAATGAACCCTTAATCACCGTACACCTGAGTTACACCATATACTTTCTCCAATCTTTCACGTATCCATGTCAATAATTACCATCCAGGACACGAGAACCCCAAACTGTCTCTTTTCATTGGCTGATTACTCAAACACCTCCTTCCACTCTCCTATCCAACGCGTGCAACCAATTGCCCAACTCGGTTCGCGAACTCGGATTAACACGAGTGAGCCCTACCTCATCATCTCTCACACAGCCTCCCACGCGTAAACGAGCGCGTGCGATTGGCTCACCTCCTCCCTCACTTTCACTTTCGCTCTACACTTCGTCGAATCACCAACTAGTGATCGGAAGAAAATAAGAATAAATAAATAAATAATAATAATAAAACGTGTAGACATCGAAGGAGACGGAGGAGAGAATGCATTTTCGATTTTGATTGGTTCGTCGAGGGTTTAATAACGAACTGGTTCCTGGGTGGATACGTTAAGTATCGTTCGCACCAGTTTGGGAAGGAGCATTTTATCGCTGAGTTTGGGGGTGGTGAGCGATGGCTGAGTTGACTCAGGCCGAGGTGGTGTACTCGCCGCGGTCCGTGCAAGTGTGGAGAACGTTGTTGAACTGGTTAGCTTTTTTCTTCCAGATCTTCGTGCAGATCCTGAGAGCCGTGGGTCACCATCCTCTGCTCTCTTCTTCTTCGTCGTCGTCTCCTTCTTCTTCTGATGGGTTCAAGCCCTTGCCCATGGTGGAGTTGTCGGAGGCGGAGTCTCCGGCTACCCTTGATATCACCGATGGAAGATGCTCTGACGTCGGCGACGAAGACCGCATCGAGAAACTCACGGTACTCATATCCTTCTCTCTGCTTCCTTTTCAAATAAACGAAAAACCAAAAACGAAAAGGATATCTCTCGGATTATGGATTGGTGTTTGATGATTTGATCGAGTTTTAGTGAAGCAGAACAGTTAGGGATTTCGGATTCGGTACCTGGGTTTTTCTTGTTCTGTGAATTATTCCATTAAATTGGTTCCTTTCATGTACTTGATTGGATTAGAGAAGTGAATTTTGTAGGTTTTCTAGAGGTGAGTTAAGATTTAGGTTAAAACGGTTTAAGATTTGAAGACACATATTTACAACTGTTTAATCAAGTTTTCTGATAGGAGTAGTTGTACTTCTACAGTTCTACTACTTGTGAATCAGTTGGGAAATGTGCTGAGTTGTGAGAGGTGGTTTGAGAAGATGAAATTTAGAGGTGGAAATGAAAGAGGATTTTCGGGAAGCAGTAGTAAAGATAGTCCCAGAATTCAAAATTGCTAATTAGTCTTCTTTGTTTGGCAACCCTAAAGAGTTTTGCCTTTTGCCTTAGCTTTTTGCTGCTTTGGTTTAGGGTTTTCTCTTGAAATAATCTTCCTCTTTTTGTTTCTAGTACAATTGCTTGTGAATATACTGAGTTTGAGTCACACACTTGCAGGTAGTTCTTGATTTGGATGAAACCCTAGTATGTGCTTATGAGACATCTAGTCTGCCTGCTACTCTCCGAAATCAAGCTACCGAAGCTGGACTTAAGTGGTTCGAGTTAGAATGTGTATCCTCAGACAAGGTTTCTTGTTAACATGGCTGATTTTCTATTTGCTTGGTTTTCCAACATTTATGTGCGAGGTAGTAACTTGATTTTTCACATGTTGGCGTTCAAAGGAATTTGAGGGAAAACCTAAGATCAATTATGTTACGGTGTTTGAGCGCCCAGGACTCCAAGAATTTTTACAACAGCTTAGTGAATTTGCAGATCTTGTACTGTTTACAGCTGGTCTTGAAGGTTTGCTGATTTGCCATTTTGTTATTTCTTCTTATATTGATTATTTTTCTTCGATTCATTGAAAGGTTCTTTGTATTTCGCAGGGTATGCTAGACCTCTTGTTGACAGAATAGATGCTGAGAACCGGTTTATTCTTCGACTTTACCGGCCTTCAACGATAAGCACGTATGTTTTTGTCTTTATTAGTTCTTCCTCTGTGGCCTTGTTAAACAAGAAAATTATTTTTCTTGCAATTGTTTCAGCATTTAGTTAGAAATGGAAGCAAATGCATTCTTCTTGAGAATAAAACAACAAAGAAAGAAAGCTGGCAACTTAAATTGAAACTGGCGATCGTTTGAGTTTCACTTTAAATTTTTTGAGTGTCTCATGTATCAGTTGCATGGCTTCTTCTTGAGCATTTTGGTATTAATTTGGTTATATATGTTTGGTAAGCATGCAAAAGTCCTATTTGGTTTAAAATTTCTAATTTATTATTCAGTTCCTATTTAGTCTTGACTTGTCACACAAATATAACTTTTCTTTAATTGTAGTTTCAACTTTAGGAATTTGTTCGCTTTGGCTCAATTGTTATGTCAATAGATAACAAATGTATGGTCTAAAAAAATTGAGCTTGTATGAAGTTTTATGTGGAATTGAAACAATAAAATTTAAAATTCTATCAGAATTTTGAGATTTTGAATACATTACTTTAGTTTCAACGGAATTCTATATTAAATTTTTTTTTTATCATCTCTTAATAGAATTTACATTTTTCCTAATGTATTGCATACAATTTGTCGATTTTTTCTAAACATAGCCTTAGAATTTTTGTAGGATTCATGTGTAAATTCATACTTATTTCAATTAGAAGATGATGAAAGTCAGTCGAAAGTGATAAAAGATAATCGTGGAATTTCATATGAAAGTAGAACAATGGTTCCGCATTCTATCAATTTTGATGAATTTCTGCTACATTATTTTAATTTGTACGAAATTTTATATGAGGGTAATTATTTTATCATCCTAGTAGAATTAACATCAGTTTCTAGTTGAACTAAGAGTGGATTTGGATTTGCAAATAAAGTATATAGATTTCTTGATCTATTCCAAACATAGTCTTACTCTCCCTACTATTTCTTTTAGCCTTAGAGAATTTGGTCTCTAAATTTTTTACTCTTGCGGATTGAATACTAGTTTGGAAATTTTGATTCATTTCTTTGTAATTTTCATTTTAGGAAATTATTTATCATCTCTATAAAGGTGAACAATGTAAAAGCATTATGATGATTGTTCATTCTTGTTAGTGTTTCATTCTCTACATGTATTAAATTCAAAACTTCCATTTCATTCTTGTTGGTGTTTCATTCTCTACGTGTATTAAATTCCGAACTTCCATTTTAGCTATCCCTTTCCTTAAAAGTGTTAATTTTGTTATATACGTTTGGTAAGCATGTTGATGTTTGTGTACTGAAACCTCTCATTGTTTCATGGAAACAGGGAGTATCGTGAGCATGTGAAGGATATTTCCTGCTTGTCGAAGAATCTGGGTCGAACAGTTATTGTTGATAACAATCCCTTCAGTTTCTTACTGCAGCCATTAAATGGAATTCCGTGCGTTCCATTTTCTGCTGGGCAGCCACATGACACCCAGGTACCGGCCTTTACTTCCTCAAGGTTTAAAGGGTATTTGGCTCACTTTATAAGCTCTTTAATATGGCAGAAGTATATACAATTTCTTCTAAAAGAGCTGTTAGGATGTTTGGAAATTGTAAGCTGATTAAGTTATAAATTCTTTTGTTTCTCAAACCCATAAAGAAAAATTCAGAACATTGTTAGAGAGCTTAGGCCAAAATCATAGCTAAATCAACAGTGGCTTATTGGTGATCAAATACCTATTCATCGGTTTGATTTTGATTGTTTACTTACCACTGCTTTATCTTCTTCCTACGTCTTGATAAGCTTCTGGACGTCCTGCTTCCGCTCCTTAAGCATCTTTCTCAGCAGAACGACGTGAGACCTGTGTTGTATGAAAGATTCCGCATGCCCGAATGGTTTCAGAAGCAGGGAATACCTGCTTCTAGCTGGACATCATAGGATGATGAAGATCATTCTGTCAAGGTTGGTGTTTTCTGTACAATCCCCAACAATTCTTTTCTTATTCGAAGGCAGCATTGTGTTGTGGTGGAACTGGCAGCTCTTGGTACAGCATCTGATTATGTGCTGATGGCGGCAACGGAAGCCATTTGAGAGCTGAAAGTTTTTACAGGGAAGAAGCATCTAGCTCTCGAAGCTGTCAGCGAAATAGATATACCGCTAGTTTATGTAGATTTTGTTTGAAGCTAGTGATTCTTGTGAAACTCTGTTCATATGGATGCAAGCCTTGTCAGATTTTACTCTCTTATTTGTTATCAGAATTTTGTAAAATTTGTTAATGATCAATAATTATTTGTAGTTCAGACATCCTTTGTCTTGTTGCCTCTTTTAAATATAAAGATTAGGGTTTTAATGTTTTAGGGTTTTCATGAAAAGTTAGCAAGGCTAATTACTTGCCATCTGAATTAAGCTCTGTGGACGGAGCAGCCATGGAATATACCCCAAATCTCTCCTTGTTTCATAGCATACTTTTATCATAGGTCAGACAGGTTGTAAATAAATAATTTTTTATTTAGTAGAATTTAAAATTTTAATTTATTAACGATTTTATTATATTTTTTAATAAAAAAAATATTTTATAATAATTAAAATTTTTTTAAAATTAAAATGATTATAATACACTAAAAGTATACCCTTATATATATATATATATATATATATATACACTAAAAATAAAAATAAAAAATCATTTCCCCTTTAGCGTTGGGTAAAGTGGAGTTGTGAAAATTAATGGAGTATCACGTTTGCATTAAAAGACGATGTAAATTATAGGCTTTAATACTATATTGAAATGCTTAATTGTAATTAATTACTCCAAATACTTTAATTAATAAAAAAAATATCACCTTATTATATATATATATATATGGATTAATTTAGTCTTGTATGAAATTAAAATTTGAACCACAATTGACTTTGGAATAAATAAATAACAATTGGAACATTATAAAAAAACTTAATAAGTAATTAATATTTCCCTACTTAAACTTATAATCCTCCAAATCCATTCAATCCCTGACAATAAAGATTTGGTACAATCTCACATGGTTGAACAAATCAAATAAAGAAATATGCAACTTAATTAGCTTACAAAGTTGTGTATATGTATATGTGTGGGTGTGTGTATACGTACGAGATTTGTTTAATTTTTGTGTCAAACCCCTGATTATATGAAGTTGAAACAAGCTGACCAAGTATTTAATTTCCTAAAAGAATATTAAATAATTAAATTTTATTACCAATGTTGTAATTTGCACAAATACTAATTATGATTGTGTTAGAATAATCCCATTAATAAAGAAAAAAAGTATTATTATTTTTCAAATAAATTAGTAAATTAATTATAAAATTTGATATTTATAATATTATTTATTTATTTTAAAACACTAACTTTTATTTTATTTTATTTTATTTTATTTTTTATAGAAAAAAAATTGTATTTAAATAAAACATTACAAAAGAGTAATTTATATCAATATATTAAGACTTAGTTTTTGTTACGTGTATTTATACTTTTAAAAATATATTCATTAGTTAAAAAATCTTACAGACATTTAACTTTTTTTTAAAAAAAAAAAATTCAGAAATGATAAAATATTAATTGTTAAACTAATATTATATATTATGAAACTTGCAAGCATATATCTCAGTACTCTTTATCCATTAATACTAAACAAATATGTCGTGCCTCGAAATCATACATATACACATATACATATATATATATATATTATATATATTATATTATATGTAACAAAAAATATAGTTAGTTATTAGTTTGTCTTACCATTTTCTTAGCAAAATTTACGTGTTTCTTTCCACCTTTACATTGCTTTTGAGCTGTTGATGACCTTCCGGCTATCTACTTGTTAAATTAATAATATAAAATCATCTTTTAATTACCTTAACATGCCTGTCTCTACTTTCTAAGCATATTCTTTCCACAATTACTTTATTATAATATATATATAATATTAAAACACATTTAATTCATTAAACTAATCTCTGTCTTCCAACTAATTTTGGGTTAAATTTCTTATAATATTTTATCATTAACCTTTTTTATTAATTAATTAATTAATAAAACTGTGTTGGCCTCACCCTTTTTCACTTGTCTTTTTTCTTCTTCTTAATTTGATGTTTTACATACATACATACATATACACACACACACACACACACACACACACACTTGTATAATGATTTGAAAAATGGCCTTTTTAGTTTGGTTGGAAGGATGAATTAATCCAAATCAAACAAAATGTTTCTGTTTTACAAGGAAATTAAATTATTCGACCTACACAACCCTACCTAGCTAATTTAATATTTGAAGGCTAAATGTTATATATTAATTTTATTTTTATTTATTAATTATCTTACAAACGTACGTTATATTGCTCCATATATTATTATGTTATGTATGTTAATTATAATTAATCCTCTTAATTAATCATGATGAGGTTGTTAATTAATTTTTGTTTTTTTTTTAATAAAAAAAAAAAAGATTCTTGAATTGATTCTGTGGTTAATTGATTCTGAAAATCTTTGCCATCTATTTTCTGTGGGTGAAAATCGTTTTGAACCAGTCTTCGCCTTTTCATCTGGTCAAAAGTTTACCGGATAGATGACGTCACCAGCTTTGAACCCACATGTACATATATATGTATATTTATAGGTCTTATTTGGGAAAACAAAAATCAGTCTTTTAAAACGAGTTGACTGGGAAAATCCACCTGGAAATATCGACAATGATTGGAGCGTGCATGCTCCGACACCTGCTGATACAAACCCATAACTTCGGAGTTCTTTGTTTATATATATATATGTATGTATGTATGTATGTTACAACATTAATAATCTAAAGTAATTTATAAATTAGACGAAAACAAAACCATTAAGTTCATATATATATATATATATATATATACACTAAAATTTAGATTTATAATATGAAAAAAAATAGAATTATGAATATGCTCAAACTCTAATCATTGTATAAGTCACCCAACGATGCATATAAAAATGTTAGAGCTTATAGAAGGAAACTCTCGCAAACATATCACCTCCTCAACCCTTATAACCATTCTATTAAATTTGTTTTCATTCCGTCACCTCCATATACGCACTATTGTTTTATTCTTTTATATATAATATATTTCGAGAAATGGGTTATGTAACGGCCCCGAAAATTTAAAATGAAATATGTGTATTAAAAATGTCAAATGCGAAAGCCAAGTCAAAATTTCGATTAACATTCCTTACACTAAAACCAAAAACGTGCTCAAAATATAAAATATCAAACTAACTAAAAGAGAAACTCGAAAGTAAAAGCTATGAATATGACTATGGAGTCTTTAGGCGTCCCCTTCGTCGTCTTCCTGCGGAACGGGATCGGGAACAATGTCTTCCTGATCTGAAATGATTAAATAAGGAATGAGCTACACTAGCCCAGTAAAGACATCACGATATCTCACCGTCACGGAGGTAAAAGTGGGTAGAAAACACAAAAAAACTAATGGAGCATAATTTACAACAAATCCTTTTATCAATAATAAAACCTTTACCATCCACTTACCTCGGTGAAATTCATAAAACAATATGCGAAAACAATAACATTATCATCATCATGAAATCATATAAACTGTATAACATAATACTTATCACGCATTTTGTAATTCAATCATTACACAACATATTTTTCCTCTTCTACTAGCCTACTAGTATCCGCGGGGATCCATAGGGGTCCTGCTACCCGTGAACCTTTAACATTTACAATCTGATTCCAGGGTCGTCCCCATACCCCGTCCGGTATGGGCGCCAAAACTATAAACCTCAATACTCCGTCCGGTATAAGGGTGAAACGGGCCGTCCCCATACCCCGTCCGGTATGGGCGCTAAAACACATAAGGTCTCCATACCCCGTCCGGTATGAGAGACCACAATCTCGGTAGGGTTCCCTACGGACCGGTCCGTCCACCATCTCCCAGGATATCTAGTCAGGCTGATCACATTATACAATTATCAATTTACATAACCTTTCATTCCCCTTTTCCTCAGTCAACATCATCAATTCACACACAAACAAGCAAAACAGTAATTTATGCCAAACAAGACAACATACAGCATCGGTTACTCAGTCATTCAACCCATAATCAATAAAACAGTAAAATATGCACATGAAACTATGAAAGGAAAACATCAGACCTCATACTGCATTTAAAACTGTAAAATATGCCAAATAACAGTTAACCGATAAACACACTAGACTCGGGCTCCATTAGCGACCTTAAGCAATTTCACACATTCGTTGATTCAAGAAATACCGTTTTATCATTATTGAACTTTAATACCGTGATAGGAAATAGGGTGAGGGGTCCTTACTCGTTTCGGGGTCCGAACACGGCTTCATAGTGCGCCTACAGGCTGTCCCTAATTTTTCCTGAATTTTTTCCGGGGAACTGAAACGCACTACTGGTACCGGCGGCGGTGCTCTCGAGTGCGGCGGCTCTCCGGCGAGGTTCGTGTTTTGGTGATTCGGCTTCGATCAACCTCGATCGGCGGTCGGAAAACTCCCCGGTGCGGCGGCGGGTGGCGGCGGCCGGCTCCTCCGGCGTCTGAAGCGTCTTCTCCGGGGAGGGCAGGCGGCTAGGGTTTTTGTGGTCAGGTGTGGGGGTTCTATTTATACCCTTTTGCCTTTTGATCTCGGCCGTCCATTTTGATTAAATCTGGGCCGTCCGTACGCGTGGGGAAGCATCTGGGCCGTCCAATCCGCGCGCACGCGGATCGCCCACGTGGCCCGTTCCCTCGACGTGGTCTTGCCACGCGGCAGGACCTGGTTGGCCAGGGCTGCTGATTGGACCGCTGACGTGGCTGCTGACATGACGCTCTTTTTTTTTTATAAATTAAACTAAATAAAATTAATACTAACAAAAAAATGCCCAAATTATTTGGGCGTTACAGGTTACCTATTAATAAAATAAAAAATAGATTTCTTCGTATATATGTATGGAAATTTATGCGTGGAGAATTATCGGAAAATAAAAATGAATATACTCTCAAAATAATTCGCTCTTTATCTTCTAATTTCCCCTTTTCTGCTTCTCCTAAATTTTTGATATGATATCAAAGTAATAATAGTCAATAATTTTTTCGATCACATCTATCTAAGCAGTCGTGCTATATCGGAGTAAATAAGAATTCAAAGAGCTTTTTTTTTTCGTGATTCAATTGTTTAATTTCAGTAATTATCATACGTGAACAAAATTGATAAAACAAACATATTATGTGGTAAAAACAAACTGAGATTC